GTAGAATTTAATCCTGAGTTTTTACACATGCTGCTCCCTCTGCCTAGTTCCTGTGCATTTTTGACCATGGTAACCAAAGTAACTTCGAAGAAAGTAACATTTAATCAATATGTAAAACAGAAGAAACTAGTAAAAACTGGAATTAGGAAATCTTATATAAACATCCTGAGACTCAGAAAGAGTGGTGTTCCTTTATTTGGAGATGACCTCTTTGGCTTAATCAAAGTGAACGGGGAAGGGGGGGAGTAGCATAAAATCAAAGAGGGACTAGATTAAGCACAGTGTTAATTATGAAACTAAATTTTATGTTTATCTATCTATCAATCTGTTTATCTATCTATCTATCTGTTTATCTATCTATCTATTAGTTGTAGTTGGACACAATACCTTTATTTTACTTATTTTTATGTGGTGCTGAGGATGGAACCAAGCACCTTGCACATACTAGGTGAGTGCTCTACTGCTGAGCCCCAGCCCCAGCCCCAGCCCCAACTTTATGTCTATGATATTAAAACTTTGGAGAAGTTTTAATTGGGAATTGACATTAACTTATATTTTAAGGCCATTCTTCTAATTGCATGGAAAAAGAGGGCAAGTAAGAGTCTGGTTAGGAGTCTTACCGGGGTCCATGTGAATGATAACTACAGTGAAGGTGGCAAACAGGGAGAAATACAAACAAATTCAATACACACACACACACACACACACACACACATATATATTCTGGAGGTTACTGAAGTGTTTCTGAAAGCATGTTGTATACAATTATATGATGATTTGGGGGTATGTGAACATTTTATTATAAAGACTTTAACTAGAATATCAAGCAATTTACTGAATATTATTCCTTGGGATGGGCTGAGCTAATTAAAATTACAAACTTGGTGACATCAACAGATGCCCCAAATCACAGAACTGTTTTTTTAAAAAACATTTTTTAGTTATAAATGGATCAATTATTTATCTATTTATCTATCTATTTATATTTGGTGCTAAGGATCGAACCCAGGGCCTCACACATGCCAGGCAAGTGCACTACCACTGAGCCACAACTCCAGCCCCTGGTATATACTGTTAATGAAAGGGTAAAAAAAGGGAAGAATAAAAAAATGCTCTTGAACACCTGGGTATACAGCAATGAGGCATAAAGAAGAGCTGAATTAGGACTGGGGGAGCTAAAGTTCAGCTGTGGATAATTTGCTTGGGAAGATGAGGAAATGTCCAACTGAAGACTTGTTAGGTGGGAAGCAAAATACCATATATTTCAGAAGGGTGTCTGGAATGAAGGTAATAGTTGCTATGGTAACCAAGTCCTAAGAAACCCTCAAATTCAGAAGTCACATGGAAAAAAGGTTAGAAAAGGAGACCCATGTTTAGAAAAGGAAAACCAGGAAAATGGGGAGTCAGAAAGTCAAAATAAAAGAAGGTTAGGTTAAGTGTGTTAAATTTGCTGAGAAGGCCTGTAACAGGAGGAAAGCAGAGTATCCACTGGGTTGAAATACATAACATCTTAGATGATCTTGGCAGAAGTTCTAATGAAGAAGCTGAAGTCAAACTCAAGCAGGTTAAAGAGAAAATAGAATGTGGAGAAATAACCAGTAAGACAGACCCACTCTATGAATTCTTGCCACACACAAAAAAAGTTATGTGAGACCACATTTTTTTCTCTTCTGAGTTTCCTTCAAAATTCATTTTTTCCCCTTCATTTCTGACGGTTAACCTACTAATTAAAACCAGTGATTCTTGTAAACCACATGTAATAGTGTTAGTGAAAAATAAGTCTGTCAGTGCATCTAATTTGGTGACTACTGCAGGACCTTGTCAGTCTGTATTATAAATACAGACAAATGACACATATTTAACCAAAGGATTTAGTACTGCTTTTATTTATTCAATTTTTTTAAAAAATTTTTCTGTGGTGCTGGGGATTGAACTCAGAGCCATGTGCATGTGAGGCAAGCAGTCTATCAACTGAGCTATATCCTCAGCCCCACTTATTCAATTTTTTGTCAAAAAAATTTAAAAATTATTTTTGTAGGCAGAACAGTGCAGGATGGTATGGAAGATAAATGTGGTGTCTGGTTTGAGGCCAGCCTTCTGAGTATTACTAGCTGGCACGTGAGTGTAATGGAATAAGTTTCATACTACCACCTGGCAAATGCAAAATGGAAAGCTAAGGTACTTGCCAAAAAAGAACTTCACAATTTCAAGAAGTCAATTAGATTTAGGTCAACAACATCTGATTACCAAGCATCTAAACATAGGTATGCTGACAGTAGCAGGCTATGAGTTTCAGAATTATTTGAGGAGATTTGAAAAACATATCCTTAAGCTTCCTGGCTATTCTGATCCAGCAAATGCAGGGTGAGATCCAGTCTATCTGCATTTCTAAAACGTTCCTCAGGATTTCTAATATATAACTAGACTGCAGAAGTTGTTACTAAAAAATCCCAAACTTATAGGTGATAATCTGTTGCTTAGGTAACCAGGTAGAGGTATAGAATTATGAAATTGTAGTACTTGGACTTTTAGAGAATACTAAGAGTTAAAACTTTGTATTTTTTTTCCCCAATCAGGAAAATTAAGAATTCTAAGTAGTTTAGTTATGGATTTACCTTTTATCTTCCAGCATTTCCATTACACATGGTACCTTCTTCTGTTCTTTATTTAACTTACATAAGTAATAGGGCTTACTTTAAACAGATGCATTTAAATTTGTGGAAAAGCACAATTATTTTTCTACTTTGCTATACCCAGTTATAGCAATCAAAGCTGGAACTTGTAGATGCTTGCAGAAAGAAGGAAATGTGCATTCTAGGTTATCGTCACAGCTGAGGGGGTATCTCTATAAAGCTTCCCCAGGTCTTAGTGATCATAGAGCATAAAGACAATAGCTTTTAAACTACTCCTGTATTTATTAAAGAGGGAATAGTTGACATACTATGTGTGAAAGCAGGACCAATAGCAGGTTAAAAGAAGTACTAAAAGAGCTATTCTTGAAGTTATTGAAACATTTTAGTTTCTAAGTAATGGGAATCTGTGAGAACTGAAAAGTTGCTTCAGGGACAAATGGAGAGAAAAAAATAGTCCACCTCCTGTTTAGGGTGTGAGCTAATCTCACAGCTGCCAAGCTGACAGTAATTCCTGCTTACTATTTATAAACTGAGTATAAAATGACAAAATGTTCTGAACACAATGCAATGCAAATTAAAGCAATCTAAAGGTCCAAAATTGTAGGTAAATTCAAAAGTTTACCACTATAAAGCAGGACAAGACCATGCAAAAATAAATAAATAAATAAACAAATAAATAAATAAATGGCACAAAGAATTTAAGTGTGTAAAGAATCAAAGTGCCAAACTAAGCCAAAATGCTATAAAGAGAAAAACAATTTCAAAGGTTAAAATGTAAAGAATAAAAGTCCAGGGAGAATAGGGACCCAACTTAAAAAAGTTAAAAGCCAGAGAAACACAACCATAAAATAGTTATGAGCTAAGAGAAATGCAAAAATTGAATACAAACTTGAAAAATTAGATAAAATAAGATTAAAAAGATAGCCTTTTTTTTTTTTTTTAAAGGGGCAGTGTCCCTGATGGCTATCTGGTGAGAGTGTGATTATTTGGAACAGTATCAATGCAAGAAAAGCTCAGAACTGAGGGTCCAGCTGACTTTGCTTGGAGATCTTCTCCATAGTTAGCTAGCTGAGTGACTTTCGGCAAGATTTTTACCACTCTGAGTTTCTTTATTTATAATGATGAAGATAAGATACATAACTCATTGGGCTATTGGGAGAATTAATGAGCCAATGAATGGAAAGGGTTCAACATTACTTCTACCAAATGGTGAGGAGACATTGTTAGCTAAGTCTCAGTCAGTCCTTCCCACAGGCTGGCCACTGCTCTGCTTCAGTGCTTCTCAACTGGGAGCTGATTTTGTCCATTGGAGGACATGAGACAACGTCTGGGGACATGTTTGGTTGTCGTGATTGGGAGGAGAGTGCTATCATAAAAGATAGCTTCTTAAAAACATAAAATGCGTAAGTTTCCATCAACAGATGAATAGATAAAATATGATTTATATACACAACACAATGTTATTCCTACAAAAATGGATGAAGTTCTGTACATACTGATATGAATAAACCCTGAAAACATTATGCTAAGTAAAATAAACCAAACATAAAATTATATAAGTTATATTGTTCTACTTGTATGATATATGTAGAATAGGAAAATTTGTAAGGACAGAAAGTAGATTAGAGGTACCAGGGCCTAATGAAAAGGGACAGTGGAGAGTTAATGGGTACATTTTTGGAGGTGATGATAGAGTTTTGCAAATAGGGGTGAAAGTTGTACAACATTATGAATATAATTAATGCCACTGATCTGTACACCTAAAAATGGCTAAACTGGCATATTTTATGTTATACATGTTTTAAAACAAGAGAAAGCCAAAGATCAGTATGCAAAATAATTAAAATTAAAAAAATAATCAGTCATAAAATTGCCAAAATATTGCAAGACTATTACCCCCAAATATAACTTAATCTAAGGAACATTAAGTAAAAGGTAGAGGATGTTTGCCAAAGAGGCAGTAGCATAAGTAGGTAGCTTCATTGCAAATAAGTAGGATGATCATATCATTTAACATCTTAACCAGGACACTTTTGAGAGGTGAGGGGACTATTAATAATCTCAAGGGACAATAGGTGTTAAGAGTGGTACTGTTCCAGAGAAACTGGGATTACATTGGCAGGCACATTACAGAAGTAATGATGTGAATAATTTTTGTGTAAACTTATGTTTTTTTTTGGGGGGGGGAATACAGATCTATAAAGAGATATGTATGTATTCTTTTAGACTTACAGATAACTGAGAGTGAAAATTTAAAAAATCAAGATAGAATAACTGAGAAAATTAGTAGCTCTAATAGTCTATCCATTATTTTAAAGCTAAAGTTAATAAATGACCTACAAATAGGTTAACTTAAACAGTCCATACCTTACATGAGAAGCTCCGACTTGGGATGTTTCTTGCTAACTCTGATATCTTGGGTTTATTCTGTAGACACTTGGTTAGGTGATATTTTTTCAATTTTATTCTACTGTAATAATTATCAGCGAAGTTACAGTGATTCAAATGCTGTTTCTGCATGCATTTCCCAAGGTGAGGAATACTATACTTCAAAGCTTGGAGAAATAATTTGGTCTTCTGCTGCATGATATCAAAGTCCCTGGTTTATGCTCCCTTTGGGGCTGCCAGGACACGAATGATTTAGTATAGTAGTGAGTTCTCAGGCATTTAGGATAACCAGATCTTATTATCCCTTTCCTTCATGTCTATGCACCCTATAGGTTATGAATATCTGCAGATCGCTTGTATCTTAGGTTAAATAAATTTTAAAGACTTAGGTTAGTTCACTTAAATCATACTTCTTGACAGGCGTGACTTTAAAAGTTGCATTTTTAAAGTCAATTTTATTAGCCTCTAGCTATGCAGTGCTAATTCTGGTACTCATAAAGGCAAACTAAAAAAAAAAAAAACAAAAACAGAAAATAAGGAATAAACATTTGCAAATAAGTACATAGTCTTAATGGAGAAAATCAGGAACTCTGAGGGCTTAATAAGCAAAATGGAATGAATCTTATATAATTCTGAATATATCTTTGGTATATATGTGGGGGATCTATAGGAAAAACCCAATAACTTAATAATGTAGGGGAGATTAATATTTGTTAAGTGTTGACTGTGTGCCAGATACTTTTTGTCTAATGTAAACTTTATATGGACTTTATAAAGTAGCTGTAAAGATGCTAATTTTACAGGTGGGCAAACTGTGGCTCTGGAAGGTTTAAGCAACTGCCTCAGTTCACTAGGACAGAAAGTTGTATAGCAAAAAGCCCAATTTTGGACATAAACTATAAGGCTTTAACTTTGAAAGGGCATTTCTCTTTTTAATTAAAAAACAGAAACACTGCAAAGATGCACAAATAAAACATGAGGTCATCTCTGGTTTATGCTGGTAGTTGGGTTCTTTTTAACCTTGATAGCTAGTGAAGCAGTTAAGAATCAGAGACCTGGGTTCGGGTTTTGCACCCTGCACATAACTAGCTCTGGTCCTCAGTTTCTTCATCAGCAAAACTAAAATAATGACACCTTCTAGGATTATTGTTTAAGAATGAGGCAATTTACATTAAAACCTTAAGTGTCTGGCACGTAGTAACCACTCAACAAAAGATAATTAATATTACTAGCTCAGGAGTAATCTAGATATGTCGCATATTGTTGAATGTAATCATGGAATTCTACCAAAATGCCCCTTGTTGTCACGGGTAGAACACTGCGTCAGATTTAGCACAGATCTGATCAGCGACGACGCCCCCCTCCCCCCTTAGTCTCCTTCTATGTCGCAGCAAAATAACGGGCAAGTGGGGATAGGGAGCAGCAGCCGACAATAATAAAAAAGAAAAAGGCCCCTAAATCACTCTATCTATCCCCACAGCCTCAATCCATCACATTCTTCATCTGCACCGAGTAACGCTACGCAAGGCTAGGGAGGGGCGGTGGGGAAGACAAATGGGTGTTCTTAGGAGGGTATCTATTCATTTTCTCCGTGCAACATTCCCCTCTGGGATGTGACAATCTCGGTGCAAGAGAGAGTGGTACCAGTTAACACGCAGCGAAAAGACACGGGTGAAAAAAGGGGGACCAGGGAACTGAGGGGTGGCTGGGTGGGGGGCGGGAAGGGATTATGGAAGAGACCTCCAGCACACCCCCCAATACATACGCAAATTCAAAGTCCGGCTCTGGACACAAACGACTGAAGACAGGAGGAGAACCCGAAGTTCTCAGGGAGAAGCAACAGTCACCTCAGCTGCGTCCGCCCGAAGTCTGCGCTCTGCAGCCCGCAGAACTACAACCTACCCAAAGCCGCCCAGAGCTGGTTTGCAGCACGCCGATCTACGTAACCACAATCCAGCACGAGGACTAAGCATATTTCGCCATCTTTATTGTGGTTAGGGTCGGACTTTTTTATTCCTGGCTTCTATAGTCTTCCAAAATATGATCCTTTTGGGTCTGGGATAAACATTTGAGCTTGAGACGAAAGCAGGATAAAAGAAAGCAATGAGAAAAGCACCCCACTAACTCAGCCACTACTACCTCACATTCTGGTTTGCCCTCACTCAAGATGGCCACCAGCGAAATGGTGCAATGACGTGAGAGCGCTACCCTGGTTGCCAAGGAGACGTGAATACCGGAAATGCGGAATTCGGGGAGGGCGCGCGCGCAAGGACCATAGGCAGCTGCCTTGGCGTCACAGGTCCTGACAGGGAAGAAGTTGGCAGGTCCTGACAGGGGAGAGCTGTGGCGGCAGTACCTCCACGAACAGACTATTCCAGTGGGATGGAATCGCTAGTCGCGGACGCCGGGACCTGCGAGACTGAGCAAGCCCCCTGTGAGAGACTGGTTGTTGGAGGTACTACTCGGGAGCCTGCAGTCTCGACGCCCCTGGGAGCCGCCCGATGGAAGCTCCTGCGGCAGGTAAGCAGATGCCTGCTCGCCTCACCTATGCCTCTGGCCACTCCCCTGGCAGGTACCTGGAGAGCGGACTGGCACCAAGAGTTACCTCTCAGTTTGCCGGGAGCTACTGGAGAAGCGCCCTCTTGCTTCACCTAAGTCCCATCAAAAAAGAAACCGGTGGGGTTGGGCGGGTAGCCAGTCTGGCGTGGCTGAGCTCCTGGGAAACTCAGATCCAAGTAGAAGACCCCTTTTTAGACGTTTGTCTGGGGGGCTTTCCCTTGCTCGCCAGTCTGATACGTGGAACCGCAGCTCCCCACCGCGCACTGCCCCTTTCCAGCTTCTGATTTGCCTCCTTCCCTAGGGTTCTTTCTTAACTCCCAGTTTGGAACGTGTCACCGATTCCCAGTCTGCACCCCCGTCCCTAAGTCTCTTGGAGATCCACGAGGTCGCCAATGCTGGGACGATGACACCACTTGGATTGCCTTGGTTTCTTTGCATATAGCGGAGCGTAAAGAGATCAGGAAGACTGTTTCTCTCCCTCTCTCGCCGTGATGTGACAGGCAAAGGTTTATCCTGTGGCTTGAAATGATCAGCGGGACACTTTGTGTCCAAGGTGTACTTGTCGGAGTGCGTGGGTGGGTTTGTTGAACGTTGGTGTCTTCTAGTACTTGAGACTTACTGCTGTTTCGGGTCACTCTTGTGTAGGTGTGACGGGAATTCTGATTTGTGCTCACTGACATTCTTTCCAAACTCCTTGAGGTCTCCTGCAGAAAACTTTACCCAAGTAAGCTTTCCACTTCTGCGTCTTGTATTTGGAGAAGAGCTTTGCAGCTTACTTGAAATGGTGTTTTAAGTAGTTTTTGGATTTTCTTTGGAGTTGTCTTGAGGCATGTTTCATGCAGTAGTCTGTTAGTGTTGTTTCGACATAACTTGTTAGCATTAAGATCATTAAGATTATTTCTTACTGACAGTCTTTGCAGAGCATTAACATTTTGGTTTCGCTGTAATGTTATAAATGGTATTGTAGGACAACAAAATGAATATCCTTAGAGATCATTGTCATGAGCACTGTCTATAATGAAGTAAATATCTCCCCCCCCCCCACTGGGATTGAACCCAGGGGCGCTTAAACACTGAGTTATATCCCCAGTTCTTTCATGGTTTATTTTGAGATAGGGTCTTGGTAAGTTGCTTAGGGCCTCACTAAGTTGCTGAGTGTGGCCTTAGCTGAGTCTGGCCTGGAGCTTGTGATCTTTCTGCCTCAGCCTCCCTAGTCTTTGGGATTACAAGGTTAAACCACCTGGCTGGGGGAAATGTCTCTTAAAATAGAATTATCAAAGTAGTAAATATAAGCTTTAAGTTATCAAATTATATAAATATGTATATGTATATAATATCTGTATCTATCTATCTATCTGTTTTTTTTGAGCATTCCTAATCTGAAATTCTAAATGCTCCAAAATTTGAAACGTTTTTAAGTATTGACATGAGCCACAAGTGGAAAGTTCCATACCTGACTTCATGGATGGGTAGCAGTCAAAATGCAGGTATACTAAATATACTATATGAAATTATTTTATGCTGTGTGTATAAGGTGTATATGAAATATAAATGAATTTCATGTTTAGACTTTGGTTCCATCCCAAAGATAGTATGTATATGTGTATGTATATATATATACATATGTATACATATATGTGTGTATATATACACACACACACACACACACACACACACACATATTCCAAAAATTCAAAATAATCTGAAACATTTCTGGTCCAAAACATTTTGGGTAAGGGGTTAATTTTCATTCTTTCTCTCCCTCTATCTTTATACATATATACTTTTAAAAAATATTTATTTCTTAGTTGTAGTTTCACACAATATCACTTAGTTATTTTTATGTGGTGCTGTGGATCGAACTCAGAGTCCCGCAGGTATGAGGTGAGCGCTGTACTGCTGAGCCACAACTGCAGCCCCACATATATACTTTTTTAGGTAGACACTGTCTTCTTTTGTTGCTTTGCAACAGGAATTCAGTAGTTCTTAGTATAATAAAAACCCTAGTTGACCAGCACTTATGTTCATTCCAAATTGCTGTCTAAATCAATATAGTATCAAGTTCAGCTGTGGCTGCCGTTTGAGCTCTGCACATTTTTACATTTAATGGTATACATGTACCTACTTGGAGTTTTAAAAATCTTTTCTACGTGGTCAGTGACTGCTCATCCTCCACTCCTCTACTCTACTTTGACAGCCCCCAATTACCTACCCCGCCATTCCTCCCTCTGTCCCACTCACTCGCTCCTCATTCTGCTAGGAAACTCCTTTATTATTTCAGGATTATTAGAGTCTTTCTCATTAGAATGGGAGTTCTCCCTGGGGATAGATGATGTGTTATTAATCTCTGTTGTCTGTTTCTAGCACAGGGCCTAGCTAGTTGGTTTTAATGGATACTGTTAAGAGCTTGTGGAAAGTATCAGATTAAGGACAGTCTTTAAGTGGCCATAGCCCTGAGTCCTTAGTGCAGTGTATTTGCTAGCTATTGCTGAGTAACAAACAACAACAAAACCAAAAACAAACATCACGTTGACATAAAATAGTGAGCATTTATTTTGTTTGTACATGGGCAACCTGGGAGTTGACTGATATAGGCTGGGATCAAGTGGCTTTATGCTAAATGCTTGGTCCAGATGTCCCTAATCCTTGGGCTAGCTAGCTGGCATATTCTTGTGGTGATGGCATAGGTATAAGAGAGCAAGCCTAACTACAAAAGTATATAAGCCTCTGCTTGCATGATGTTTGCTAAAATCCTGTTGGCTAAAGTAAGATATTTGACCAAGTCCAAAGTTAGGGGACCAGGAAATATATTCTTCCCTTGGAGGTGGTAAAGAGGAAGTGAATATTTTTCTAAAATAATGTAATATAACACATATATTAAACATTTGCAAGCTCTTATTAATGTTTAAAATGGATGGACCATTCATTTCTCATTTACACCCAGAACTGGAAAACTGTGAGGAATCTAAGCATTGCTAGAGTTATGCAACTCTCTTTTCCTTCCTCTTTATTTTATTTGTTCTTTTTAGATATACATGACAGTAGAGTATTTTGACATATTATCTATACATGGATTATAAATTATTCTAGTTATGATCTCATTCTGTGGTTGTATATGATGTGGAGTTTCACTGGTGGTGTATTCATATATGATCATAGAAAAGTTATGTCATTGTATTGTTTTTCCTATTTCTGTCCCTTCTCCCTTCCCTTCATTCTTCTTTGTCTAATTTGTTGAAATTCTATTCTTCCCCAGCCCACCCCCTGCTGTGTGTTAGCATTCGCATATCAGAGAGAATATTCTACCTTTGTTTTTTTGGGATTGGCTTATTTCACTTAGCATGGTAGTCTCCATATCCACCCATTTACCAGCAAAAGGGATACAGTCATTCTTCTTTATAGCTGAGTAATATTTCATTGTGTATATGTGTGTGTGTGTGTGTATGTATGTATATATATATATCTCACATTTTCTTCATCCATTCTTCTGTTGAAGGGCACCTAGGTTCCATAGCTTAGCTATTATGAATTGACCTGCTATAAACATTGATGTGGCTGCGTTACCTTTCTATGCTGATTTTAAATCCCTTAGGTATATACTGAGAAGTGGGATAACTGGGTCAAATGGTGGTTCCATTCCAGGTTTTCTACAGAATCTCCATACTGCTTTCCAAAGTGGTTGCACCAATTTGCAGTCCCACCAGCAATGAATGAGTGTACATTCCCCGGACATCCTCACAAACATTTATTGTAACTTGTATTCTTGATGGTTGCCATTCTGACTGGAGTGAGGTGGAATCTCATTGTAGTTTTAATTTGCATTTCTCTAATTGCTAGAGATGTTGAACATTTTTTCATGTATTTGTCAACCATTTGTATTTCTTCTGTGAAGCATCTATTCAGTTCCCCTGCTCATTTATTGATTGGGTTTTTTTTTTTTTTTGGTGTTAAGTTTTTTGAGTTCTTTATATATATCCTAGAAATATATGCAAAAATTCTTAATAAAGTATGTAAACATATTAAAAAAGATGATCAAGTCAGTTTCATCCCAGGGATGCAAGGTTGGCTCAACATATGGAAATCAATAATCAGTAGACTTAAAGAATTATGTGATTATCTGAATAGATGTAGAAAAAGCATTTGATGAAATACAGCATCCATTTATGTTTGAAACACTAGAAAAACTAGGAATGGTAGGAACATACCTTAACATTGTAAAAGCTATATACATAAAACCCAAGCCCAACATCATTCTAAATGGAGAAGAATTGAAAGCATTCCCTCTAAAA